TAATTATCTATTATTACTTCTAATTATCTATTATTACTTCTAATTATCTATTATTACTTCTAATTATCTATTATTACTTCTAATTATCTATTATTGCCTCTAACTAAAGGAGGTATTTTAACTACTACTACGCTGTTAAATAGTATACTTACTCTTACTTCTAGGCTTCCTTTAGAAACTATATTTACTCTTCTATTTTAATAGGTAGTTTTTATCTAAATATCTCCTCTTCTCTATCTTTAAGTATATAATTTATCCTATATAATATTATTTAATAGGCTATAAGAGTATATATCTAAAAGGTAATATTTTATAAATAGTTACCTTTTTAAACTTACCTTTCTTTTTTTATTACTTTATATCTATCTTCTTTAAGGCTACTTATATATTAAAATTTATTTAATAAATTTATAAGAGAAGAGGTACCTTTACTAACTATTACTTCTAATTATTTATATATATAGTAAATAACTATTTATTTATTTTAATAAAACCTATATTATTAAAATTATAAAAAGTATATAGTATCTTACTTATATTATACTATAACTTTATATTATCTTTTACTCTTTTCCTTATTACTTTTACTCTTTACTAACTTAATTATTATTTTTCTATTTAGAACTTCTTTTACTAATTATAAACTCTACCTACTATATCTTTAATATAGCTAAACTTAATAATATACTACTAGAAGTCTTTTAGTATATTATTAAATATATAGATCTTTATAACCCTACGTCTTTAACCTAAGCCTACTTTATATTTACCTTAGCTATTATAAATAAGGTTTTATATACTAATATTAAAAGTATAACTCTTTAAATCTTTAATATTACTACTAAACCTATAAAGCTATTAAATCTTAAGAAGAGAAGTTATTAGTAGTAATAGTTTAAGTATATATATTACCTCTATAAGTTCTACTAGAAGCCTACTAAAGGTTATAGTTAATTTAATAAAGATATTATATATTATATACTATACTAATATAATAACTTTCTAATAATAGTAAGTATCTAAATTTATATAATTTAGGTACCTATTAATATAAAATTAAAAGCTATATTAAAGTAATAAAGAATATACCTCTTTTATATATAGTACTTCTAATACTAAACCTATATTTTCTAGACTTTTCTTCTATTCTATTTATTTAGAGGGGCTCTGCCTAAGAGCTATTAATTCTTTTCTTAAGTATATATATTAAAGAGTATAAAAAGCTAATTAAAAAGAAAGAGGTAGCTACTAAAGTAATAGCTACGTACTTCTAGATACTAGAACCTACTATCTAGGCCTTTATTAAGTATTTAAGAGGACTTCTTAAATAGAGTATTATACTATAATTCTGTATTAAGACCTAATACTAGTATATATATAAGGGGGTTTTTACTACTTATATCTTAGATTTACTAGACTTAGAGTAGCTAAAATAGTCTTTCTATAACCTTTTAGAATAGGATCTATATAAGAGAATATAAGTAATTTATATATTATACTATACTTTATTTATAGATATATCTAATAAGATATAGGCTATTTAAGAACTCTTATAAAGTTTATAGCTAAGATTAGAATTAGAGAGAATAGAAGAATAAATAAGATATACTTATATTATTATATTTATAAAAGTATATATTAGTTTTATCTTATTATAATTATAAGTAATTACTATATTATTAATAGAGTCTAATAAGTTTAATACTTAGAAAGAGTCTATTACTTATAATATTAAAAATACTACTTAATACAGAAAAGATAAATAATAATAGATTAAAGGTAAGTTTAGTACGTACTTTTAAATAGAATTAATATATAGTATATAAGGAATATTATATTAATATAATATAGAGCTAATATAAGTATTATAAACCTATATATATATCTACTAAAGATATATACCTCTATTTAAAGAAGGAGAAGAGAGTAATATAAAGGTAGTATAATATAGCTAACTTTCTTTTTATTATACCTCTCTTTTTTCTTTCTTAGTCTATTCCTTTATATATATAGGTGTATATAATAAAATAATATAAGATAGAAAATAGGTAAAAGATAAAATAGAAAGTAGTTAAGATTACTAATACCTAATTTTAACTATAATTCTAGATATTAGAATAGCCTAGACTATACTTATATAATTATATAAAAGAGTCTGTTATATCTAAGTACTAAATAATAGTACTAGAATTAACTTCTATTAGTTTAGGGTTAGGGTTAGGGTTAGGGTTAGGGTTAGGGTTAGGGTTAGGGTTAGGGTTAGGGTTAGGGTTAGGGTTAGGGTTAGGGTTAGGGTTAGG